TTTGTTCAAGATGGACACATTCAGCTCAATACAGCCATCCTTCCATTATCTTTGGACTTTGGACATATTACTTTTCTTTTGATGGCGGCGCGGACACCCGCAGCGGCTCCTCTTGTTTTATGTTGTCTTGAGAGGGAAAAAATTTCATCTGTACTATATGTTGCACATACAGCACATTTGACAATAAAGTTGTACTTGACTTGAAATGCTCAGTCATTCTGTCCCCAAATGCCACATGCATTCACATGCAGCAATGGATGCGCGGGCGCACACACACAACCCCCCCCCCCCATCCACATTGGCCACAATCCCCATAATTTTTGGAACGGCACAAATTCACTTACCAAAAACTGTGCCCACACTTGGTCATGTGTGCCTCTTCTATCATTTCAAAGCAAATGGGGCTGGAAGAGGTAAGCACAAAACGGTATTATGTGCACGCTGAATCTAAACAAGTACAGCCCAACCTCAGAATACATTTAAGAATAAGAAACCCTTTATTTGTCTCACAATGGAGAAATTCACAATTTACAGCAGCAAAGTTAGGAAAGGAAGAAAGTAGAAGAACAAAAAGAATCGGAGCTTTCATTTCATCGGGCGCACCTGCAAAATGCTCGGAGACTTAAAACACAAATGCGATCAATAGTCTTATTTGCAAGGACACTTTTGCAGTTGACGGACATATTACAGGGGTTGTTCTGTAGCAGACCCCAGCGCGCGCGCGCGCAAACGAACCAACCGTCCATCACTAACCAGACAAAATCGTTGCTTTTATCTTCATAGGAGTTCAACAGGCCGTTGCAAAGAGGTGCTTGGTGGAGGGACCTCTTCCTGCTGCCAGAGGACGCGGAAGGTCTACTTAGGGAGGCGAAGCCACCGCGAGACGACGACACGGCGACCAAACTTGGCACCGACATGCCGCTGTCACCTGCAGCCGCCAGTGTCCGCGAGGGTACGACGTTGACTGAGCTGTTTCCATTGCTCGTGACGGCGTTGCTTGCGCCACTCGAGTTCGCGGTGCCTCCTGTGCCACCGCTGCTACTCGTACTGCTACTTGTGCTGGGCACGGAACTGGCACCGCCAGCGATCTGCGGGGACCGCTTGTTTGACATCATGCAAATGCCACTCAAAACTCCCCCAAATCCGCCGTGGCACTGTTCAAATCATCCAGACGCTACTGTTGGACTACTTGTGCAGACTCTCCAGCTAGCTGCTTAGTTTATAGGCTAACATCCTGGTAAGGGTGGCACATCGTCGAGCGAATTTTAAACTAACTCGTTGCTGTTTGCCTCGCTCGTCTCGTCACCAGAGACCTAGGGGAAAACAACTATAATAGCAAAGGAAACACCCGAGCATTGCAAGAGAAAAACAACCTTCTGCGCCGTGCAGACGATTAGCCGGCTAGCCACTTTTAGCTACAGACAGAGGGCTAGCGCAAGTTTCCTCGATTACTCGGTTACGCGGTGTCCGCCTAGCTGGCTACATACCACCCTCCAGTGCATAGGAGTATAATTGCGCCGTTGGTCAGTTCCACCTGTCTTTTGTTGTTTTCTTCGACGTGACTGCTTGTTTTGATAAGCCACCCTGTTGTTCTAATACGCATGATAATAACATTTAAGGTTAAACAAATTGAAATCACCCAACCTCCGTCGTAGTAAACATAAAAATTGTAGGACAGTATTGAAGTGCTTTTATTAGATTTTTTTTTCTTTTCCATATTTTCAGGTCACCATCACAATTCAACTACTTTTTTTCTGGCACGTTTCTAATTTAAGGGACTAGAGCAACCCCCCTCACCTCCAACCCCCAAAAAAGTGTCAGGTTAGGGAAATATTAAATACATTAAGAAAATATTTCCCAACTTTGTTTGTACACGATATAAATATGTTACCCAAATTAAACAACAGAATCTGAAAAAAAATCTATTGCGTTAGAAAAGCAACTCATATATATCTATATCTAGATATATAGATATAAATCTAGATATAGATAGACACAAACACACACACAGTAATATTGGTATTTCCTGTGATCCCACCCCAGAAATAACATTTCCTCTTGTATCTTTTTCTTTCAAATTATATTTCCTTAACAAAACAAACAAACCAGTAGGTCACATCCACAAAGTGCAGGCAGTGACTGACTGGGCCAAGAAAAGCCCCGTCTTGTCGATCAAACATCCACCTGCAGGCAGCTTAGCAAACAAAACACAAGCAGCATTAACTTATTCATGCTAACAGTTCATCCATCCAGCTCCCGTACTTATTTTTCCATTTATGTTTTTTTTTAAACAGAGGGCTAGCGCAAGTTTCCTCGATTACTCGGTTACGCGGTGTCCGCCTAGCTGGCTACATACCACCCTCCAGTGCATAGGAGTATAATTGCGCCGTTGGTCAGTTCCACCTGTCTTTTGTTGTTTTCTTCGACGTGACTGCTTGTTTTGATAAGCCACCCTGTTGTTCTAATACGCATGATAATAACATTTAAGGTTAAACAAATTGAAATCACCCAACCTCCGTCGTAGTAAACATAAAAATTGTAGGACAGTATTGAAGTGCTTTTATTAGATTTTTTTTTCTTTTCCATATTTTCAGGTCACCATCACAATTCAACTACTTTTTTTCTGGCACGTTTCTAATTTAAGGGACTAGAGCAACCCCCCTCACCTCCAACCCCCAAAAAAGTGTCAGGTTAGGGAAATATTAAATACATTAAGAAAATATTTCCCAACTTTGTTTGTACACGATATAAATATGTTACCCAAATTAAACAACAGAATCTGAAAAAAAATCTATTGCGTTAGAAAAGCAACTCATATATATCTATATCTAGATATATAGATATAAATCTAGATATAGATAGACACAAACACACACACAGTAATATTGGTATTTCCTGTGATCCCACCCCAGAAATAACATTTCCTCTTGTATCTTTTTCTTTCAAATTATATTTCCTTAACAAAACAAACAAACCAGTAGGTCACATCCACAAAGTGCAGGCAGTGACTGACTGGGCCAAGAAAAGCCCCGTCTTGTCGATCAAACATCCACCTGCAGGCAGCTTAGCAAACAAAACACAAGCAGCATTAACTTATTCATGCTAACAGTTCATCCATCCAGCTCCCGTACTTATTTTTCCATTTATGTTTTTTTTTAACCTCCATGTGGCCAGTGTCTGGGGTCCACACAACATAGACTTTCCCATGTTTCTGTTTGTGGAAGAAATTCACATGAGCCATTATGGCGCACAGGTAGGATGTAAAGTCAAGTTTTCAGCAAAGAGGAAAATTACTGGATACACTCAGGAGTGAATTCCCTCAGAGGGACTTCGGTGTTTGTGAGAGATCGCTTCGGTAAAATGTTTTCTCTGTGACTCAAAAGTATGGAAAGTCTGTGCGCTAACATTTGACATTTATGAATGTTTGTTTGTTTTTACCTTCTCAAATGTGACCGTCAATTGTCTGTTTTAAATGCTGACAACCGACTCAACCGAACCGAAAAAAAATAGCTGAATTAAAATTATGTGCCTCATATTAAGGTTTGTAACTCGGATAATGTTGTTCGCAACCCTCCCCCGTCCCTCCCCATGATGAGCTCGGCTTAATCAAGCAGCGGATGTGCAAATCTGTGTGTACATTGTATTGCATTGATACGCCTCGGGCTCCTCCCTCCTCTTGATACTGCACCCATGGTGGGGAAAAGCTTCCATTCTTTATATCTCTCCTTTTCATCTCTTTACCCCAGCTCATATGTCCTTCCTAGATTTTCGCTTTTAAGGGGGCCCTGCCTCCTTTTCATAAGAGGGTAGGTTGGGGTGGGGGCAGTCAGGTGTACCCATACATCCAAGGTGACCAAGAAAAAATACGAAGTGGGGGCTTAAAGAAACTACGACAGTTTGTGTGTGCCCACCAAAAGACATGAGAAGAAGACAAGTGTGGGCCCAGGGGTCATTGGGGTCAAGGCGGACAAGCTCAGATGAAGGATAATCTTTGGAGGTCCCTTACAGTAGGGGGTGAGGCCCTGGTGAAGCACAACTATTCAGACCCTCTTACACATACTGTGCGTCCTTTTATCGCTCTCTTCCTCTTCTGTATCTTCCCCATCATCCTCTTTTTCCCCCCCCTCACATTTTTTTACCCCTCCTCTAAATCCTACCCCTCCTCTTCTTTCTTTTTACCCCAACATAGTTGCAGCTGGATTTCAAAGGGAACTTCCACCGTAGTAAAAGAATGACTGTTGAGTCGGCAGATCCCCTCAGTCAGGCAAACTGGGGTTGTTTAATTTCTACCTCCCACTAGTTTTTCTGCCCCTTTGGGGGCCTCTGCCATAGCTGTCAGCGCCCCCCCCCCTTCCCCTCCCCGTTTCCATCTCTGGCCAAAGTACTATTTGCAAATTGAGCCTGACAAAAATTGTTGGGGCTGAGGGTGAATGGGGGCAACTTCTCAGAAGGTGTGTGTCATAGAAGCTGCTGTCTGGAATGGTCAGTATTCGTCAAAGTCTCGCTTTTGAAGAGGTGTGGTGTAAATAACACAAAAGCAGTAGTTGAACGGGTGGAAGGTTTGGGAAACATTTTCGTCAAACAAGCTCTAAAAAAGAAAACACATGATGCCACGATTCAAAGAAATTTGAAGGAGAAATAAGAAACAAAGTGATTGAAACCGATCAGCCATTTCCAAGTCTTTGGAAACCACAGTCAAAGCCATTATTTACAAATGAGGAATACTGTATCGGTTACAGTGGTGAATGCTGAACCTTCCCAGGAGTGGTCAGCTCATTAAAATTACTCCAAGGGTACAAGGACGACAATGACAGCATTCGACAAAAAGAACATCATGCGAACAGTGAAACGCGGTGGCGTCCGTGTGATTTTCTGGGATGCTTATTTACGACAGGGCCTGGACAACTAGTTCTACTGTAGCAAAATGTTCGGGCATGAATTCAGCTCAAGCAATTTTGGGTTATGCAGCTGTGGGTTAGAATCTTACTGAAAATCATTTCAGGACGAGTCATTCACAGTATGCCTGACAGTTACCTTTGTGGTAGATTGTAACATTGAGCACACAGTTTTATTTCTATTTTGCAGTATGTGGCATGTGAAAAAAAATAGGAGGTGATATTAGGGGGAATTCCTTCTCACCTGATGCTCCTCTGTGTTTTTCAGTCCCAGGAGCACAGGAGTTTGGTAGCATATTTGTGTTAGAAAAACTTTCTTCATGTGCTGGACAGATGTTTTGCCTGTCTGTTTCGTACCACTGAGGAGAGTCAGAGAATGAACCAGAAGGGGAGATAGTTAAAGGGAGGGGTGGATGAGTGGCAGGAAAAAAAAAAAGTATGAGAAGCGGGCAGTTGGGGAGGTGAAGGAAGAAAGGGGGGTTTCTCAGACTCCATAGAACCTTTGAGTGTGTGCACGCCCGTGAGAGAAAAAGAGAGAGACAGAGATTGTGGATGGAGTGCTAACAAAGGAGTGATCAATCACGATTCTGTCTCAGCAGGAGCACACGCACGCGCCGCCTGCTACACAAATGAACTTCAATCCAATTACAACGCGCGTAGTTTGAATGAACGAAAGCACAATGACAAATCCCCAACTTCAGATCCAATAGAACATGGCTCATACATTTCAACACATATTCCACTCTATGAATGAAATTTGAACTGTTTTTTTGTTTTTGTGAATTCATCTAGAGAAAATTTGGCAACGTTAGAAAAATATGAGCATTTACCAGCATCTGAACAAAACGGTACTTTACAAGTTGAACTATGCCACGAAGGAAAGTATGCGTGAATATATCGCGGAATTAAATACACTTTAAATTGTGAAGTGCCGAAAATTCCGACAAATGTCAAAATCTTGTTTGTAAAGGTCTATGACTTGTCTAAAGGAACAATGCATTACATCGAAATGAGTCATAAACAAACACGCCAAGACAACAGAATCAGGGAGAGTGCCATAAAATGTAATTCAACTACATAAAGCTTAAGTACAAGTGACCTATAAAATAAATACATTTATGGATGCTGGTGTGTGATTTATTGGGGACGCGGGACATGGATAATAAATACTTTATTGCCAGTTCCCTCTTCCCTCGGGCATCAGGGGGGGATAACGCGGGACTGGGGTGGAGAAAGTGGAGGATTTCCCTTGTAAAACAAAATTATGAGGCAGAGGGAGGACGGCCTCCTCCGCTACACTTTCTCCACTAGTGATGTAAGGAGAGCGAGAGAGCGAGAGAGAGGGAGAGAGAGAGAGAGAGAGAGAGAGAGAGAGAGAGAGAGAGAGAGAGACCCTAAATTGACCGTGGAGGGAAGCAGCCCTCTGTCAAGTGCTTTCAGACGTCCACCACAACCAAGAGAAGACACATGGATGGGGCTTTATTGGACTAATACTTGTGCCACCTCCCATTAATGATCGTTGAGATCTGCACGGACACTTGGTCTCCTCTTGCATTTGGAAAAAAAACAGTTTGATGACTCCGATTCACTTTGCAGCACCGTTTGGACCTTGGACACACTGCATCACAATGGCCAGGTAAAAGGTGCAACTTTGTGCCTGAATTAAAACAGTCAATTTGGAAACCACAGAATGGCATTGTCATTCAATTAGGTTTGGATTATTTCTCGCGGTAGACTGACACCTAAAACGAAGTAAGGAATCTGTTTGAAAACGAAAAATCGAACGCCTAGGATTAAGAGACGCGTTTCCCCGGGAAAGTGGCAATGAATGGAAAAGGGGGTAAAGTGATGCGCTGGGACGGAGATCATGACGAGAAGTCATACTAATGAGACTCCGTTGTGTTGTGTACGTTTGTAAGTGACCAAATTACCCAGACTCCGGAAAGACATCGTCTGCAGTCAATGATAATTCGTTTTCCCAACAAATGAAATCTTGAATTTTCGTCGCTGTCCCCTTTTGACTTGGTGCAAATGAAGTACTGATCCTTGATGACGTACTAAGTTCCAACAAGATGTTGTCGGTCACTCTCCTCGCGCTCGTCTTCGTCCTGACTCCCGACGCCGGGCTTTTGAGCTCCAATCCACTGAGCCGGTACAAACGCGCCTTGGCCCGGCGCGCAGACAACGAGCTCTCCCGCCTCGCCGGTGAGCCTTGCGCTGTCTCCGGATCCGGGAGACCCCTGCAGCGGCAGCAGCAGCAGCAGGAGCCGGTTGCGGCGGACACGCTCTCA